AGAAAGGACTAAAAAACAGCTCTGTATTTGGGGGTGCTTTTGACACTTTGTGACATGAATATTGAAGGCCTTTTTCCCCCCAGATGCTCAGATATTTTGCCAAAATGTGCTAAAACAAAATCACTTAGAGAATATGAGCTAGCTCAGAGATTAATAAAACCTCCAACTTCACAGACTTCCACAAATAATGAGATGAAAACAACAGATAATTTTCAGCCATCAAATATTTCAATACTTCACTCTGTTACTATGACATATTTATCCCATACGAAATATTTGCAAAAGGAGTTGTAATGGCCTTCAGGGACAGGAAGAATAGAGTTTCTGTAGAAAATGTTAAATTAGTTTTGATGGTGATGCAAAGTTAAGGAAGGGTTGTTAGGGATGGCTTGCTGCCACAGGGCGGGGTTTTGTTTTGGTGTCCTTTTAGAGCCTGCAGGTGTTTGGCACCAGTTGAAATCGGGGCCAGCTGTGATATTTCAATAATTTGGATATTTCCCTCCCAATAGTTCTCAGAAGTGATGCTTCAGAGTGATGTTTTACACCTGATATATTCAACTTGTGTGGTACAAATGGAAAGACTGTTAAGCAACACCAGTTTTAGGATACCCTTTGCCCTTCTACCCTACTCTCAGGTCATGGCATCAAGGAAAGAAAAACACTAATCAGAAGTTCCAATAATTAATAATTCATATTTTTTAACTTAGCAGTTCAACCAAAGATGATGATACATGAGAATAACTAAATATACAATCCTAAGCAAAATTCTGAAAGCAGGATGGTGTGTTCTCTTTTGATGTTCAGTGTAGATAATGATGCTTTTAAGCCCTTTCAATGGTGACATCCATACCTATTTTTGCAGGAATTTGAATAGTTTCTATTAAAAGCTGCATTTTCTTTTAAGTTTATTTGGGTTGGAAACCCTCAAACCACAATGTATTTCATGCACATGTTCCCAAGGGTATGTTAAATAGGACCATACTGAGGTCATCTAGTAAGTTTTTGAAACTTTTTAAGAATTCCTTTAATGTACTGCACAATCTTGGCCTGATTAGAAGAAGATATTTTAAGAAAGTACTTGAAAAAATGACTGGCTATTAAAATCTATATGCAGATAACCTATATTATGCTCTATAATGCACAGAGCTTTCCATAGATAATTTGTCATTGAGGGAGAAAAACAATAAAACTACCACTTTAAGAATTTTTAGTCAAAACTTGTCAGAAATAACAGTAAATGCAGACAAATGCCCCCATAGTATTTTTGATTGACTTAACCGTGAACAACCATGACATCATTTTTACTGTGCAAAGGTCTTCAGCACTTTATCATAAGATAAAAGGTAGACAATCTTCCAACTATCCAAGATAAAACATATCATCTCCCATTTCAGTTGAGTAAAAAAAATGAAATCTTCTTGGAATATGAACTATGATGAATTTGTTAGGTTAGATATAGTTTCTACCATCAAGTACATTTTTGTTGTCAACCAAGATTTTCAAGCCAGAGATGAGAAGCATACATGGTCCATTGAATAAGAAGCATACAAAATTCTCTTCTATTCCTTGAGGTTCCCAATCTTTTCCTTTTTTTTTTCTTTCCCTGGTTGGACATACCCCTTTTCACTTCATCAAAGCTTTCCTTCCTGCGCCATGTTCCAAGCCTTGTACTTCACCCAAAGTAATTTTCAGTCAAATGAGCAGCTGTGCTGGCACAGCGCACACAGAGAGCTGGGCCACTACGCCAGTGGTGCATTCCCACATTGAACACAAGTGGCTAGTTCCCTGTACCCAGGGCCAAGAAACTGCTGCTCATCAGAGCAAAAGCTCCCTTGGACACCTCAAACGGAAATCAAACTTAAAAAAAAAAAAAAAAAAACACTTTTATGGAAAATGAAAAATAAGAGGGTTGTCAGCAATCAGAAATAATGAAGGGTTGGGAACTCTTGGCATATCGTTTGCAGATACGTTTTCATAAAAGGGTAGTAGATTGCAATTCTAAGTTAATGATCCCCATACTTGTGGCAGCACTGGAAGTACCACTGTTCACTAAAACAGGTATTTTAAAAGAAGGTGTTTTAATAAGAATATAATCATCAAGGGCACCATTATAATGAGAGCCACTACCATGCATTGAGCATTTAGCATTTGTCAATCCCTGTACTATTCCCTTAATTAACATCTCATTTAACACTTTCAACATTGGCGAGATAAGATCCTATTATACCATATAACAGTTAAGAAAACTAAAGCCTGCAAAGTTATAAAACTGTCCACCAAATTTGAAAATATGATGTTAACCATCATCTTAACCCAAACCCTAACAACCATCAGTCCCCCTGAAATCATCAAGAGCAATTCAACTAGTGCTAAAGATAATGCTCATTAGTGCTAGGGTACAGGAACCATCTGATCATTTGGAAAACCTACACTTTCTTTTTTTTTTAAAAGAGAGAGAGAGAATTTTTTAATGTTTATTTTTTAGTTTTTGGTGGACACTACATCTTTATTTTATTTTTATGTGGTGCTGAGGATTGAACCCAGCGCCCTGCACATGCCAAGCAGGCGAGTGTGCTACCGCTTGAGGCATATCCCCAGCCCTGGAAAACCTACTTTCCACAGTTAACAACTTATTCATTTGTTTATTTACATATACATGAACATTTATTGTATGCATGCTATTGAAGTAAATTTTGAGTTTATTTTTCAGAAAGGCGTAGAATTCTAAATTCATACTAAATCCTTACTAATTCACCTAGTAAATATAATAAAAGTTTATTGAATAAATGAAAGAATTTTCTAAATTGTCATTCATAGATGTCACCTTAAGGTGCTTTTGAATAATATACTTCATACAAGGTTTTTTTTATTTTTTCACATTACACAATGCAAAATATTATAGAAGTCTTTTTGAAAAGGGACAAACAGTTCTAAGCATAAGGAAAAGGTGATAACCCTGATTCTCATGCAAAACATAACTAGAATACTTACAATTTCCAGAGTAATCTTGGCTTATTTTAAAAATGTAATAGTAGTACATTACTCACTAGTCTTTCTAAAAATCCGATAAATTACAGACATATATTTTTGTACTTAAAATTACAAATGAAGAGTGAAATTATGTATGAAAGAGAACCCTTACTACTGGTTTCCAATTATCAATAAACATCATGGTATGGTTAAGTATTTTTTACTTTAGAACTGTAATAATTAGGATCCACTTTTTGATGGGGTTAAGAGGTCAGTTTAGAAATTTTGAGGGTAACATGGAAATCTGGTATCTTGATTTACATAATATCAAACTTCTCCATTTGGTAAGTAGGCTAAGTACTAAAAATATGACACCATAACATAGACCAAAAATAGATACTTTGCAGGTCCAAAGCAGTTGAGATACAAAGATAACAAATTAATTAAATTTCCCTTGTATTAATTAAGCTGAATTAAAAGGGGAAAACAGATATAAAAATTCTATTTAGCCTATATCCACTCTGAACCAGCCCATAATTATGTGAACAATTTAAAAATAATAAGACTTTGTATCTTTGTATATCATAACCTTAAAAAAACCCAAATAATTAGAATATACCTACTGATATTTAAGAATAACTCTTTGATTTTCTTTGTTTACCTCTGATAAAACACAGATGAAACAACAGAAATGCTGATGGGAAAACTTTCAGGAAATATCTCTTGTGAAATATGACCTCAAATTGAGACAAATACGAAGTCCTACACACCTCTAAAATACCACAGCTTAAAATGAGATGGCTGATTCTCAGTTTTGAATTAAAGAAACCAGGTACTTGGCCTATATTCAGGTGTGGAGACCAAGGAATCACCAGATATTAATCCACTGAATTTTGGGGTTCCTTTCAGATGAATTTACACAGTATATACCAAGTGGGCCTCTTATCTCCAATACATATTGACCATTGTTTTATTGTGAATAAAACTCTTCACTGGGGCAAAAAAAAAAAAAATAGCATTTCTGAATTCTCTAGCCTTTCTTCTCCAGTAAATATTGTAATTACTGAATTAAATACACTCTAATTTCCTTTTAAGCAGACATTTATGCAAGAAAAATGTACCAATGTTAAAGAGTTCAGTTTCCCAACAAAGATCTTCTTCCTCAGAAAATGGATATTTCATTTTCAGTAATTCATTTCAAACAAAAACCTGCTACTATATGAAGTACCAACAGAAAAAAATTCCTACAATTTTGAAATGTTGGAAACTGACAAGATATGTGAAACATCATAATAAAATATTCACAGAAAAATGGAGGTCCTCTACATTTTAAGGTTAATATGTGAATTTGAGACATGGTACATTGCTTATAGTTCTATTGGTTAAGTAGCAGTAAGCATAAGGGAAAGGCGATACCCTGATTCACCTTTAGCTATTTTTGACATCTAAAAATAATCCACTTGAACAATGTTATAAAAAATATTTTTGGGTGGTGACCCTTCTTTCTGTGCCCCAAGAAGAACCTATTAAGCAATGTATAGAACAAAACTTTATTAAAGTATAATAAAGAGCCCCACAAAAAAGGCATATTAATCAAAACATACGAAAGCTTCTAATTTGCAAAACTAAATATGCTTTGTATATTTTAAGACATCTATGTGGTAATTAGAAGTAGGCTATAACTGTAAAATTTCTCATATTTCTTTCTACAAAAAAAAATCTCTGAAATCCTGATTCCAACTTTTCAATTGTCTATATTTCTAATTTTCAGAAAAAAATAAAAGCTTTCACCTTGAAAATTTTATGGAATGGCTGATAACGAAATATGTTAGACCCAATAGACACAAGTATGGTTGTAGACAGCCAGTTCTACAATCATACTTTTTATTTTTATTTTATCCCAAACCCACAAACAATTTGAACATAACAGTGAAACATCATATTATGTGACTTAAGATCAATGACTAATGTACCTTTTGATATCAATCTGGATAGGAAAGAGAAGAAACCAAGGACTTCAAAAAACAAACCTGAGGTTCTGTAAATACACCCTTCATATTGTTGATTGGGCCATATGGGACCCCGCTGCCTTCAAAGAGATATAACCACTTAGTGGTCATTTCTTCTTCAAACCTAGGAACAAAGAAAAGATGCATTTTTTTTTTTTTTTACAATCTACAGAATGCAACACAACTTCTTTCCTCTTATGGCTCTCTTTCACAGTAAACAATAGTGACAAGTATGTGTTGCTTAGGCTTTCTTTAAGCCAAGTTTTGAGAGAAAATTGTCTATATGAAATGACTTGAGTGGCCACCCAGATCCCAGGGTTTAAAAATACTCCATTAGATATGTAATTTCTCTTAATTTTATCCCTGTGTATTTTCTGACAGAGTCCATTGGAAAAGAAAGATTGTAAGGAAGACAGTATTGAATTCCAAATGTGATGTTGACAGAATGGCAGCTATTATGAAGACAAACAACAATAAGTGTTGGTGAGGATGTGGGGAAAAAGGTACAATCATACATTGCTGATGGGACTGCTCTTTTTTTTTTTTTTTAGGTCTCATGTATAGTATACCAGGGTAGAGAGATATTGATAAACAAAAGTATGCTTTAAAACAAAAAATAAACAAGTATAGTTATTTTAAAAGAAAGCTATGTTTAAGGTATACAAGAATTAAAAGTAATAATCATTGGCCTAAAAATAGTCTTAACTGTTGGTTTATTTGAACTGTGACTTATGAATTAAAACTACAGACATGCAAAGATTTGTGTTTCAGGTAAAGCCAACAAAACTCAAATTCATCCACGTTCTTTATCTCTTTTTAAATTCTATAATTTAAAAATGAACCTCACAGACAGGAAAATACATATATATTTCTTCATTTTCTCTATTAGGTCTTAAGAAAAGGGGAGCTAATCTATTAATGAGATTTGGTGGGGTTTTTTTTACCTCTTCTCTGTTAGGGCCATAAACACARAAGGAAAATCTTGGATCCTTAGGGACAACAAAACACAATCATAATTTCTAATGTATAAGGAATTTCAGAATTGCTCATTGTTAAAATATCAAACCACTTATATGTAATTAATAAACTTGGCAACTAAAGAAATTTTTAAAAATACTAGATAAAGTGGATTATTGCCAACAAGTAAAATACTCCCCCAAAATGAAAAGACCAGCAGAACTATGGCTAAAATATTTCATATGCATGGAATTCTGTTTCTCTTGTACATAGCCAGAATTGGCCTCAGATTGGCAGACTCCACAGGAAATTAGAAAAAGATACTTTTTTCATCTTTTAAAAAAATGTGCAAAAACAGTATCAGTACTTGGAGGACACTTCTGTGATCGCCATTACTGATAGATAAATAATAGATAATTTTTTAAAAAAACCAAGAACTAAAAGGAAAAATAAAATTAATATATTCTCTAAGACTACTCTATGCACAATGATGTTTGATCAACAATTTTTACAAAAGGACATAACAAAAAGTTTTTAATGAAGATAGTATTATATTTCACTAGGAATTAATTCATCTTATCCACATATTTAGATAATGAGTAACTTCTGTATACACCAAGCATTGATTCTTGCCTTTTTGTACAATGCCTTCCCTTTTCTCTCCAATTACAATGACTAAAGAATTTTCATTATATGTTTTAATTTCAGCCCAATAATGTTAACTCTTTGGTATACAATGAAATACTTCATTTCTAAATATTTTAAAAAATTATTTCATAGGAACATCATGGCTCAGGTTAAGTGTCTTGTTTCTAATCAATTCTTCACATTAGTATTTCTTTCAAGAATTGTTAAAAGCATCCCCTAGGCCAAGAATTCCTAAAATATATAGAGAGACATATCATCAGAATGATATATGCTGAAAGAATAAAAGAGTTACTTTAAACCTGGAGCCTTTTCAATCAGGGTGTCAATTTCTTTTTTCATAAATGGAGTGTTATAATGGTTAGTCTGATAAATTTTCAAGACAAGTAAATTAATCACCACTGGACTTACCCAAGTGGCCTGAAAGATCTGCAGAGAAAATGCATGTCAATATCCAAACAGACCCATGGCTGCAGGCTAGCCAAAAGAAAACTCCAGGGAATAGTTGAAGTTCTAGTATTTATATAAGCTTTTCACCACTGGGCAAAAGAGAGGGATTTATTTCATGTTATGGAAAACAACGGATGCACTTTGGAAATGAGAGTGAGGGAAGAGACAGAGTCTGAATCTGCAGTTGTGACCACTGTTTGCATCTCTGTGTGGGTGTGGGTGTGGAAAGGTTCTTTAATGCCATAAACTCAATCAATCAGAGACAGAACATGCTGCATTCCGCTGTTCCCAGAGGACAGATCCGTCATTTTCTTCTGAAAATCTATCTCTGATCTAAATCTGATGTGGAATCCTTTCCTTTATCTATGCAAAAAAAAGCTGTAAGCACATGTTTTTATTAACCACAAAAATTCTGCAGGGGGTTTGAGGGGAGATGATCCAAACCACTCAAAGCAATAGACTCCTGCAGATAAAGACAGAAAGGGTGTCCTTAGATTCAGCTCAGCAAGCCTCAAAGGAAGGGCCTCTTTTAGGAAGTTATGTGGAGCTTCATAATCCAGACTTAATTGTGAACTTATTAAATCAACCCACATATACAATTCTCGAATTTTGTTGAATTTGCTTAATGCCAGGAATGGGTATTATTAACCAGACAGCATCATTTAGGTATATGAAGTACTGCTGAATAAAGATACACTGGAGTTTATACTTCCTAATTTCATAATTTAATTTTTTATTAGAGCATTATAGTTATATATTGTAATTGGATTCATCCCAACAAASTCAAAAATGCATGGAAATCAATTCCAGTTCATGATCTCCCATTTTCCCTCTTGTCTTCTTTCCCCTCTCCCATTCTCCTTCCTCGACTCTACTAGACTTCCTTTTACTAGTCTTTAATTTGTATTTGACTGGTTCTTTATATTATCCTATCCTTCCCTCCCCCTTCCATTTATTTTACTCTAGCTTCAGCATATGACAGAAAACACAGAATTTAACTTTAAAAAACAAACACAAACCATCTCTTTAGAAAATGGATTAAGTATCAAAGAAGTCAAATCTAAGAACAAAGAGAAACTACTAGTAAGAAAATGTTATCCTCTTTTGACTAATAGGAAACTCAGGTTCAGAAAAATTAACTTGCTCAAATTCATAGAGATTTTTAAGGTCAGAGGTTGCATCTGAAGTGGAAACTGTTGAACTCCAAAGTCACTTTCTAGTACAAAATGATTGTAGCAGAATACATGAAGATGCATAGCTTCACACATCACATGCATTATAAATGATCACAGATTTTTTTAAAAGGAATAGCATAGGTGAAAACTTTCCTTTTTTCCACTAATTTCCTTCTTTATTTATATCTTATATGGCTCAATATATATTCCTTTACATTAATATTTACTCAATCCTTATGATTTTAGTAGGAATTTGTTTTGTGTCAGCTGTGAAGATCAAAACAATAAAAAGGTAGTTCCTGTGTTCAGAGATTATATAGACTAATGGAGAACACAGCTAAGGAAATGGATAAATTACAATTCAGGATGCTAAGACAGAGATATGAAAGAACAACTTACAGTTGAAGCATCAAAGAGGAAAACTTGCACTGGGCCTGGGAAGGCAGGAAAAAGTCCAATAACAAGGTAACATTTGAGCCAAGTGTTGAAGGACAAGCTAGAATTTTTCATGTGAAAGATGGGAGGGAGGATTTCCAGGGAGAGAGAGCAATGTGTACGAAGATCCAACCTGGAAAGAATCTGAAATCTCCTGTGTCATGAGTGGGAGAAGATGAAATAAGAGAGGAAGGTTAGAATCAGAGTGTAAAGCATCTTGTCTCCTATGCTAGGGATATTGAATTTCCACTGGCAGTGAGGTCTTTAAGCAGGGGACTGACATACTAGGCTCTGATACAGAGAACAGACCTATGCCAATGAAACTAGAGATAAGGAAACTTCACAGTAAAAACATATGCATTTCAAATCTATCAATTCTTCCAGTAATAAATAAGTCCCACTTGAAAAAGTTTTTTTGTTTGTTTGTTTGTTTATTTATCTGACCCTCTGAAATCTGGCTTGGTGGTCAATGCTCTTTTTTTATCCAGTCTTCAATGGTCTCCAGTGATCACTTGTCAAATCTAATATTCCTTTCTGAGTCTTTGTCCTTCCTTCCTACATACTATTTGATGCTTCTGACTATCCTAACTTTAGGTCTAGTGACACTCACTACACTTAAGTTTTCTTTCATATCTCTTTGATGATTTCTATTTTTTATATTCTTTTGCCAATCCCAAGATTCCTTATTCTCTTTTACTCACTGCTATGATTTGGATAAGTATCCCCCAAAAGCCTAGGTGTTGAAAATGTGCTTACCAACCTGTGGCACAACTGGGAGTTGTTAGAACTTTAAAGAGGTGAGGCCCAGTGGGAGAAATTTAGGTCTCAAGGGGTATGCCCTTCCTTGAGAGAGACTCTCTCTCTGATGCTTGGCCATCGTGAGCAGCTTCCTTCACCACACTTCTGTCAAGATATACTGCATTCCCATAGGCCCAAAAGCAACAGTGCCAACTGACTATAGATTGGAACCTCTGAAACCATGAGCTGGAATATCCCAGGTATTTTGTCATAGTAATGCAAAGCTGAGTAACACACTCAACTAAATTATCCTGAGATCCTTGTGCAGAAAAACCCCAAAGTCCATGTTTTAGCCTTGGCTTTTTTTTCCCCAATTCCCTTTTTTTTAGTACATAGGGTAATTCCACCCTGATGCACTATTACCACCAGTAATACACCATGGCCCTGATGACTTTATAATTTCCATTTCATCACAAACCTAGAATTTGTCCCTTGCCTAAACTCTTATCTTTGACTTTATCTGGAACTCCTTCCTTCCCATCATTTCTTATGACATATATAATCATCCTGTGGGATCAACTTTTCAATGGTTAAGCAGTATTCCTCCATTCTCATAGTAACTATCATGCTTATGGACCCTGGCGCTTCACACTTAGATAGAGGTAAGAACTAGTTTAAAACTTATTGTCTCCAATCTCCCTCCTTCAAATAAGTCACCAATTAC